ATTTACAAACTGCCAGACAAAAGAGCTACGGATCGAACGAACAGATTTATAAGGTCTGCTGTTTCGTCAAGGCAGGCAATATTCAACCAGAGCTATGAAGTGAGAAAAACAAGCCGAGAAATGCATCCACATAAAATTCAATTCAGTCTGCCTGTTCACGGTATATCTTTTGAGACGGACCATGCTATCAGACGATTGAATTTACATGAACATGAACTGTTTGGCCCATTTTATCAGATCTCACAATGGAATTATAATGTCTGTGTACAATTGTGAGACTATAATCAGTGAAACATTTGTAGATCGTCGACATATTTGTGAGATAACAAGGTACAGAAAACCAGGAATGGCTATTTTCTCAACCGGAAGTAAACTTTTTAATAGCCTTTATCTACAATTCTGGTTTTGCTTCCTCTTGGACATTGTGTCGAAAATGGAAAATGTTTCGTAACATTTTGGAAATTGAATTTGTGTGGGAACGTGAAAATATACCATTTACCCGACCTCCTGGTTGATTAATTGGAAAGCAGAATTGCACGTTCCTGTATTTGCCGTTTACATCGATTTGTTTAATTTATTAGTTATCGAGAAATCAACACAACTTTTTATATCCAGGTTGACCTATTACCAAATGTCAATAGCCCTTGAAACCTTTAGTCCTCTAAACAATCACAATAACACTTGGTGCCGAGATTTCGTTACTAAATAAAAATCAGATCTATTTAGATGTAAATTTAATACGTCACTTTAAAATAGCTATGGATTATAATCTGCTATTTCGTAACTACTCATCTCATGTATATAGGTAATAGTCTTACATTTCTCAGGAAATTTAAGATATACTAGTTACCGCAGGGTGCGATAAATGAAAATTGCCTGCCTTGACGAAACAGCAGACCTTATAAATCTGTTCGTTCGATCCGTAGCTCTTTTGTCTGGCAGTTTGTAAATGCGATCATTCTCTACTAAGACATTTTTAGTCAGACCTCACATCTCACAGGAAAGCAGACACTCATCGCAATTGAAGGGTTTGTTTTTATTGTAAAACCACGTCTGTTGCGTGGGTAGCAGATGAATTAATGTCCCAAGTCAGCTGTTGCATCACAAGACACTATTCAGGTTTAAGGAAGCAACGTGCCTAAAAGACTTGGGAGCGCAATCGCCTGTGGCAGGAATCTCAAACCAAATGAATTGTTGTTCAAATCGAACTTGTACGGGCATTTGACACACATGTACCACCTGAGGACGAATGACGATTCAGCAATCAGTTTTGTGAATGGAAGTATTTGGGGCCACCTAAAACCACTAAGAACACAATTTTTCTCTGTGATTTAAAATTCTTTTGCCACAATTTCGCTAATTTGTTTCACACGATGTGCCATCAGAAGGGTGGGGGTGGGAGAATTCGCATCACGGGGTGGTGCAAATTGTAGCCTCGCTAATCGCAATGTGGTACGTATGTTTGCTTTAATTGAGTGGGTGTTTCTGCGTGCACCGCAGAAAGGCTTATCCATTTATTAAGTCCCAAGTGCACTCTCAATTTATAACTGCTAATGGCTAAGTTTCCCTCCGATGCAGCAGAATCTTGACAAAGGAACGGAATGCAACGTGGGAACGGAGTGAACAATTAGTTTCCTCCAAGTTCTATGTTCTCATGCGCGATCAAAGCAAGTCGAGCAATTGTTTTTCTAGCAGTATTTTGAGGCATTGAATTGTATACCAATGCAAAATGTGGACACAAAACTAACGAATTTGCACCGACTACATTTTCGGTAACAAATCCTCCGGCTATGGTTTTTTAGTAGCCAGCTCGGTGGCTAGAAATAGCTCGTGGCTTACTTAAAAGGACTGGATTTGATAGTGACAATGCGAATGCGTGGCTTCCTTGGTGATCATAGTGTTGAATGGGATGAAACACAGAGATTAACCACTTCTCGTTGCTATATTATCACTGTACTTGGCATGGACAACAATACAACAAAGAGATGTCATCAAACCACATTGAAATGTAATCTCGTCATTTTGGCTTGTGGGATTTCTGTGTATTCTGGGGAAAAGTACAGGAGTTGAGAAGCGCTTCCAAGGAGCACAACATCTAGAAACGGCGAAAGGCAATCGGTGAGATGAAGGGGGCAGACATGGAAAAATAGCGCAGTTTAAATGCTCTAATTGTTTGGATTCCCGAAGCTAGCTGTTTGTGACCTGTTCCGCTTCGGCAACAACACCGATGTCCACGTCTTCGTAGAAGTCGAACTCGATCGTTCCTTGTCTTTCGAAATTGACTGTTGCGTGGTTGAGTCAGGGGGTGCGACGAAGCCTCTGCAACGCTTCGGCAGCATGCTGGCCAAGGCCCGGCGTGCTTTGGCACTAACTAGCATGGACAGCGCGATAACACCGCCCTGTGCACTGTTCACCAAACCGACGGCTCTTCGCAGCTTAACCAGTTGGGGCCACCAGCCAGCAAAGAACTGAACGAACCAACAAACACCGAGGATGATTGCGAGTTTGGCGCAAATTCCAGCAAGACTTTTCGACTTCTTCCGTCTCTTCTTCTCTTGCTCATTTTGTGGGGAGGCGTGTATCCGGGCTTCTTTGGAGAGACGACAGATCTGAATGCAAACAATGAGGAGGGCAAACGAGTTGAATGAAATCATGGTGCCTGCAGGCACAAGGAACCACGTGATCAGACCACCCAGGTTGGTGAACCATGCTCGAGAACCGTCGGGACAGAAGCCAGGATTTGTGCTGGCCAACACGGAGCCAAGGACGTCGGTGTGAGTGACGTTACTGGTGGGTGCATTGGCTTCATCAGAGCTGGAGGACGTGAGATTGGCGTAGACTGGTGCAAGAAGCGAGTGAGCGCGCTCATTCACCGCGACAGCTGGTATGACAAAGCAAAGAGGGACAATGGTGGCAACGGAGATATTTTTGCGGAAACGAGAAGTTGGGCTGCTCCGATGGTACCCGTGAGAATGCGTGTTTGTTAACTACAACAGAAAGAACCATTTTCATTTATCCCTCTATCAGATTAGCTGACGAGTTTGCTTATAAACAAGGCATTTTAGCAGATGGAATGAGTCATGTGCGGAAGAATGCCAATGGTTAGTGTGTGTGGTTGTGGAGGCTAATGCAGTTATCGGGCTAATTAAGAGACATCAAGAGTGTCACAACGCTTCACAAACATTTTATGCAAATGTCCAAATAGCACAAGTTCATGTAAACACATGGAGTACGTCTTTTTGTGTGGAAGCTTGAGAGGATTTAAACAACGCGGGCAACTGGACTACTCGTGTCGACAAATCCTGAAGGACAGACCAATGTCAAAATAGCCGTTTCGTGTGACTCATCATCATCATCACTGCTTCCTACAAACGTGCGTTGTACTCTGTGTCATGTAAGTCCCACTCATGTGGAATTACAAGACCACCTTTGTTTAATAGTTATGGTGACGCGTCCGACTGAATTTGATAATCTGTAAAATAGGTAGTTGGGCTCGTTTTAAAGACAACGCAGCCATAGTACGCAAGTACGCGGCTATTAGTCGGAATTACTAGACCTACAGTTGGCAAGGTTTGGTGTCTCACTGACTCAGGTGACTTCGACTCGTACGCCATCAATGCGTTTTGCTGGCCATGGATGCAATTGGTGTATGCGATGAAAATTGTACCAAGGAGTAAGTAGTTGGCCAGGTATGTAGAAGATAAAGTGGAGTGTAATGCTTTGACAAAAGTGGATGATTGACAGCTGACGGTGTGTTTTGCGTGTGTTCAAGTGCCCTGCTCTGAAAAACCCAAATGGTAAGGGGAACCAGAAGAAATAGTTAGCAGCTGCAGGGTTGAGCAGGGAGCCATGGTGTGGGATCCTAGTGGTATTATCCTCTGGCTTGACTGGCGTGTGTGTGTGTGTTTGTGTGGATGGATTTACTGAATGATTGGGTGGAGGATAGCAACTAGTTGGCATTTGGGTCTACATATTTGCTTTTTTATTGGACGATACAGAGGTAGTGAGAAAGCAGAGAATACTCTGCTGTCTGAAATAGAGCCGTAATGAGTTCCAGGAAGCCTAATTCAATTGGATGGATGCAACAACAGCACTGTCTGCAGTTTAGAATGCAAGTTGAACTGCTGGTGCCTACAGCCCAGGTACATTTCGTGATGATGGGCAGATTTGCTGGCTGCAACTGTGCGAGGGGCACGAACCACCTGTGTCGAGTGAACTCGAGCCCTTTGAAAGATATTGATGATGTCCAGCATTAGTGCATTTGCGGTGGCACTCACTGAATGCGCTTCTAATCAGACGCCATGAAGACCATCTTCCAAGATATGCAATGCATTGTGCTTATCACCAGTCAAATTCTGACTTGCATTTCTGTGTGTCTTAGTAACTGTGATGATTATTGTTGGGAGTCCTGTATGATGCAGTGCTCCTACACAGTGGGAATGGTTAGGCACTCGTGAGGCCATTCTTGTGTAAACCTCACTAACGACCGTTTTGTGAACCACGGAATGTGCAATAACACAGTGAACATTCGTCTATGACGCTCCAGGCGTTTCTAACATGGATGCTTGATTCGATCATGACTGCGTTTTACTACCAAGTAGATTTGGATGTCTGATAGGTTATCTACAGTCGGTGATGCAAGCGATGGACGTATTCAAGCGGTGCTGAGTAGATTGCTGCGAAAGTCTAACGAACGTGGGAGTTTTGTTGTGTGATCTTTCAAACGGATGATGTTGATTAGAATATTTGCGGCTTAGATGACAGGCCAGATAAATGTGTGACCAACATTCTGGCGGCTGATTCAGATGCGATTTGAACAGACCAAGTAGTATCTCAGCTTACTTTGTTTGAGTGCCAGAAATGGACATGAGAACATGGGACGCCGATGGTAAAGACAGATATGGAGAAAGAGCAAATACACGACAAAACAGGAATGCCAATGCAAAGAGCACGGTAAGACTTTGAATTAAGAGTAATGCAATGACTGTTTAGAGTAAACGTATTTGTGTTGTTCCTGCCAGACATTGTGTGCATCCACCTGAATATGCCACTTCCTTGTAAACTGCTCTAGTCAGCTTCAATGTCTAAAAATCTATGCACGTTTAGCTCTGGTTCCGTGGAGCGTTTTGGACGTTTGGCAAGCATTTGGGGAGAGCTTGCACCACCCATAAATGCGCGACAAATTTGCATTTAGAGACAAATCTGTGTTGCAAGTTGGGAGCGTCCGAAATCAGTGCCAGTCAACTCTACACCGTCAAACCGCTCTTAGTGGCATCTCTGTGGTGATGCGATTTCGTCCAGCAGTTCAAAATGCGCATCCTAGTTCTCACTAGAATATCGAGACTGATAGATTGGCAGCCTTAGGAATGAGGCATTACATTCGTATTCTCCGTTTACATCACACACACCTAATTGTAGTTCGACACAACTTTCTATGCCAGAGCGTAGCCCAATGAAAGAGGAGCATTGCATTAGGTCAATGCCTAATTGCGTCCGTTAAGGCATTTGCAGATATTGAGACAGTGCCACTACATAAGCACTGATGCTAGGAGCCCATCAGCGCGTAGATAGTATTGTATGACATGGGATTCGCAAACTTGGTTGAGAAAATCTCCTTCAGAAACAGAGACGCCTATTGCCGGCAGATATATAAGAATACTTGTAAGACACGTCTCCTTTTTCTGTAAGGTGCTAGACTATCGTGAAGTTTGTTGCGATGGTCAGCACCTCACATCTTTTATTGGGCAAGTTTTCGTTTAAAAGTGTGGTGACGCGCTATGCACTCCTGTTCAATGTACTCCCATGCTTATCACTTCAGCGAATTCTTATCAAAGCAAACAACTAATGCACTGGGGTGAAACACACATCCACGATATGCTTCCCATGTACACCGAGGTTAGATGACTGATGGCTGCATCAGGTATTCACAAAAGTGGTTTATGGTAGACGTTAACTGCACTGTTTGGCGATGCACTCAAACCGCCTGGTGTGGATTTCCAAGTAAAGGCCTCCTGGTTATTCACACGTTGACAGTCATGTTAGAGTTGATGGGAGTTATCAAACCATCTGGATTGCAGAAAAACAAGTGAAGTGCTTAAATCTGCTAGGTCTTCACCACCGCAGTCCCTCTCTCCAGCTTTTTTCCTGAACCCCATAATCAATGTCATTCCATGTATTTCGAGCCATTTCGCCAATTAACGCCCAGTTCCACAAAACATAAGCAGGAATTGCATCACACCAACTAGCTTACTCCAAGCAGTGACTTTGGAATACTCACACACACACATACACTTAGTCAGCGAAGTCGACTCAAGCAACCCTCCACCCACCCAGCTAGACCCTCAGTTACTCCATTTTCCGCAACACACTCAACACCCAACCTCTGCTGCAGATGAATAAACTAGTATTTATTTCATCGGCAGCTAGGCAATCGTGCATCGCGATGTGCGGCCTCCTTCTGTCCATTATGGCCGTCTGTGTGAGATATCTGCCTCTTTCGTTCGCCTTGGTTGTTTTCGATACCGATTTCAGTGTTGTGTGCTTATATAACGAGCAAAACCGCGGTACGAGTTGAGTCTGCTAGTGTGCTGCTAGTTGGAATAAGGCTTCCATCCACTCAACTAATCGCGTCATTGTTCCTCGTCTGTTCTTTCCTCTGCTGCCCAGTAGCACTTCCGAAACCGATTTACGCCACTCTCTCTACCACCACCACCACCACCACCACGACGTTAAGCCTTATACACAGATGCGATTCTGCTTCCTTTTAATTGTAGTCGCTGTTCGGTGAAAAACAACAAACTTCGTGGGGGAGGGGTAGGGAGGACTGAGATTGAATGGATGGAGAACTAGGCGCAAACTAAAGTTGCAAACAACATGCATCACGTCTCTTCAGGAACGACGTGTAGCGTTCTGTGGTAGGTGGGTGTTTGTGATATGGGTTCCCTCATTGTAGTATTGCTACGCCACACAATGACTTCAACGAGTTGAATACACAGCAGGCGGTTGTGTTTGATTGGATCTTTTGTGATATGGCGACAGGATATCAGGAAGGATGCATGCAACAACCTTTACAGATCGCATCGTTTGTTGCCTTCAATTAACATGTCTCATGTATTTAATTTGATTTTCTGGATGCAAATGATTCATAGACATTGAATGCACTGTAGTAACGCATCCAGAGACTACACTCCCATTGCTTGCACCTCGGATAATGGGACGGGGACGATGCCAGCACACGACAAATGTTGCACATGTGTGTATAGCGTTTCTGTGACATATTGAGGTCTGTTAGAATCACACCCACTGACTCATACAATGTGCATCCACCACCTAGAAACAATCAACTGGACTTCCACGGTCTTCCACCATCAGACCCGATGAACGAGCAACGCGTTCTTAATGTAGCGTGGTAGTCAGTATTTTCGCTGCACGCTTATTTCTGTTCCCTCACCACCTACCAAAAATACACACCCTCAAGGAATCCTCCTGAAGTGTACCAGCACCACACCCAACTCCATGAAATATTCCTATGACCTCATTTCCATTCCATCTGCCTCTCTGAAGTACGCCTTTTTATGTGGTGGACAGACGGTTGTGCTTGAGAGCACTCAGCCGTCACCTCTAATGGATGCTGAGCAAGTGATGAATGTTGCTCACTCCATGCGTCGAACACCAGCCACTGGTCGGAACATGCCCAAGTGATTATACGTGAAACCGCACACGAAAACCTTCGACAATGTCTCACGGAAGCAGCTAACCGTTGCCCTCGATGCTAATTTTGCTGCTGAAACACATTTGACCATCCGAATTGACTGTAACAAAACACAAATATGGAAAATGCCTGTTAGAACGCGTTCTTTTCATGTTCGAGAGCCCTGTGTCTTTCCGAACGCATATTTCTTAATTTGACAGTAGTCTTAGCATGGGTGGGCTGAGGCAATGTCCACAGTTGTGATTTGTTTTTCTCATGGAAACCTATGCATATTGACCTTACCTACCAGGGCGAAGAGCCGATGGACAGGAACTGCGTGAATCTTCGTTAGCTGCTGCGTGAGTTATAGAAGAAACTCTTCAACATTTTCACCTTATATCCTGGAGCCAGATTCATCTACGGGGCCGTTCCTCAGTAATCAAGATTAATTTTATAAGAGTAATTCTGATAGAACGAATTTGTGCCTTTCCACGTGCGTGCTTGTTGAATTTTTTTGTCATGAAACATTGGTGAAGTCAGTGTGCACGTAAGATTCCAAGGACGCTTTGTGGAAACCACGGGTGAATAGATAACAAAACGATAACAGTGGTTTTTGAATGTTACAGACTTGGGTTCAATTTTGTACATGCCAAATGAGAATGCAAGTTAATAGGGTGTCTCTTTTGTTTTGAACAAGAAATAGGGTGGTTTGTGATAAGAAAATAATGTATAAAATGAAAACACAATAAATGAAATCAGTCTTAGCACAAAAAACATCTAATCTGGTTCTTATTGTAGCAAATTTGTGAAGTTTTTTTGCTGGTATGGCTCTTTTAAAGTGGACATTTTGAGAGGTTTGTCTGTTGTATTTGATTTTTTTTCCTTTGACTATCTCTATTTCCAAATTATTTTGAAAAAAATTTAAATGGTGAAATGCATCAGGTTACACTTTTCAATAGCTACATTTAGGTTGCTTAATCCACGTTTACCTGAATTTTGCGTTTATTTATATTTTAATAATTCGTCTATAGATAACGTCCTTTTCTTTGATATATCTAGTTTTGTGTTTCCTGTTTTATTGACACAAATTAATAGCGAGCAAGGTTCTGCTGTCATGCTATTTATAACCCGGTTGTCGTGGTGTCAACGACTACAACTTTGTATAAAACCAATTTTAAGGAGTGGTCATATGTTAATTGACGAATAGTGCAGTGGCTCCTAGGGACTATTCTTTGTGAAGTGGATAAATGGTAAAACAGCTCTCCTTTATGATGAGTGCACAAGGACTTGATTGTTTAGCTAAGGTGGTCGTAATTGCTGCAGAGCTTAACGTCAAATTAAGTGTTAATTAAGTCACTAATAGCTCTTTTATTGCGGGTTGCTGAATCTTCTGGGCAAAACTCCCCCTCTTTTACTTCCTGGTGCAAATGCCATAATTAATTCAGTTAAAATTTTAATGAATCAGGGCTGTTTGCTTATAAAATTAGGCTTTCTTTAGTATTTTAAAGTCAGGATTCAATCACTTGAAACCAACTTCGACCCCACTGATCACTCCAACGAGTG